TCTATCAAACATAAAAGCATTTAGTTGTGTGCTAAAAATGGAGGAAATGTTTCTGACTATGTTATCTTGCACCTTCTATCATCTAAATGAAAGGTTTTTTTAAAAAAATTATTTATGTTTTCTTTGGGCTAAAAGGGAGGAAACATTTTATTTATTTTTGTGTGTGTCGGATTTTTTAAAATTTTATTTATTTTTTTAATTGGTGGAATATTGCTTTACAATTTTGTGTTGGTTTCTGCCCTAAAGTAACACGAATCAGTCACAAACTGTATATATACCCCTTCCTTCCTGAGCCTCCCTCTCCTCCCCCAATATTTCTGTATATCTTTTACTTTGGCTGCGTTGGGTCTTCGTCGTGGCACGTGGGCTTCAGTAGTTGTTAAGCGAGGGTCGCCCTGAGGCATGTGAGATCTTAGTTCCCTGACTAGGGATCTAACCTGAGTCCCTGCATTGGAAGACAGATTCCCACCAGGGAAGTTCCAAAGTGGAAATTCTTTGGTGGTCTTGACAGAGACCTGCAGCCAGACAAAGGGGTTGGGACGACAGCGGAAAAGGAAAGGAAAGGAAAAGATGGGCAGACGTGACTTGGAGGAGGGCTGGCGAAATGGGTGGAGAACAGTGGGGTGGGCGGAAGAAAGTGGGGAGGAGAAAACGACAGCAAGTGTGGATTCTCTGAGTTCTGCTGTTCTAGAAAACCAGCAGCATCCCGTGGGATCTTGTTAGAAATTCAGAATACTGGCCCCAACTCAGATTTACCCAATCAGAATCTTCATTTTAACAAGATCCCCAGGTAATTCTTAGGCACAGTCAAGTTCCAGAAGCTCTCAGTTGCCCCCAGCCAATCTGAGCCAGTCCTGATCAATGTCATCAGCCTTGGCCCTATTAATAGACAAAACTGGTTTGGTTGCCTAGAGACCTGGAAATCTGGTTCCTCCTGTAGCCTCTGCATCTCGGAGTGCTCCTACCACTTTGGCCAAAGCCGTGTGACTCCAGTTGGCCTCAGTTTCTCTGCTAGCGTGTCAGTTCTCTGCAGGGATTGGATCCTGGCCGGGACCCCAGTTTTCCTCAGCGCTGTCCTCACATTCCGCCAGAGGCTTGCACTGCCCCTTCCTCTGGGACGCAGGGTGTGATGTTCTACTCTCTTCTCAGCTTCTGCTGGGGACCTGCCCGATCACCTGGAACTGTGCCTGATTTTGAATACTGTCACCTGGACTTCTTCCAGAACTGTGTTCAGCTGGCAGAGAGTTCACACTCAGATATCCAAGTAGCCTGGCTCAATCTGACTTAGTCACGGCCTTTGACCGCTGCACACCAGTCTGCCTCGCTGCCTCCTGGGGACGGGCTAGCTTCTGAAGACACACTCTGTCCCCTCTGTCCCCCGAATCTTGGCTTCTTCCCCCTTCCCAGGGCCTGAGCTGATGCAGTCTCAGCCTGCCTTACACACAAATGTCTCCTACTAAAGAGAAGGAGGCCAGCACAGAGCGAGGGCAGCAGGACTTAGGCCCTTCTCTCTCTCAGCATCTGTGATGCTGGGACTTCATGGCCCTGCTTGCATGTGTAGACCGTGAGACGCCAAGCACTGCCCTTGGAGCCCTTTAGGTAAAAGATATCCTAAGAGTCTTGGAAGACTACTGACTACAAAGGGGCCCAGCTGTTTTGTGCAACTTGTAGTTTTGGCTCCTTTCTCCAAGGTGGAGAAAAATCTTTGTGGCCTAACTTACTTTATGAAAGTGAAAGTGAAAGTCGCTCAATCGTGTCCAACTCTTTGTGACTCCATGGACTATACAGGCCATGGAATTCTCCAGGCCAGAATACTAGAGTGGGTAGCCTTTCCCTTCTCCAGGTGATCTTCCCAACCCAGGGATTGAACCCAGGTCTCCCACATTGCAGGCAGATTCTCTGCCAACTGAGCTACGAGGGAAGCCAACTTACTTTATAAATATAGGCTAATGCATACAGAAGCTCAATCATTTCTCTGGTTCCCATACAACCATTTCACTTTGACCTATGGCGTTACACCTCCTGCCCTGCTCAATCTGTGGTGGAGCATTATACAAAGTGTATCACATCTGCTCCTGTGTTTTAAGCCAGCACAAAATGACATGAAGTTCACGACAGTCAGGTTGGCCATCAGCTAGAGAGGCCAATTTTTATTACTCTCTGCTAATTCATAATAAAGCACTGACTTTATCTTTAAGATTGTTGCATCATTTCTATTCCTAAGAACTATTCTTATGGTGATTTAAGGAAAAAAAAAAAAAAAGATGATGAGAAGGAAGAAAGAAAACAAGAAGTGTGGCAGCACCCACAGCAGCTAAGGAATGGTGTGGGTGTTGTTTCCATTATTTACATACATAACACTTTCACAAGAATCCAAATGTCTTACAAAAGAAAATACAAATTGCAGGAAAGACGCGATAACACAGCAAGACACAAAGAAAACAATTATCCAGAGGAAGATTTAAATTTGGCATCAATCGTTTGCAGCAAAAGAATGGATAAGTATCCACTGCCTTCTTGCACATAGCAAGGTAGGCATGTAGTGGCATTTGCCATGGTCCAAAAAGAAGTTCCATGTAAAATAGAAGGAAATACATGCTATGTAATGTAGTCACTCCAAGTTTCTAAAGTTGCATGGCAATCTCATTAAATCAGCAAGGGTACGTGAATACATGGTTTCCCAAAGACACTCTTGGCCAAGCAAAATCAAAGGTCCAGGAAGAAGTTACTCAAAATTAGCAAGAGTGTTTGGATAGGAAATAGAACATACACAAGCATGAACCATTCACTGGATCATTCTAAAGGTCCAGGTTTTCTCAGGACAGAATTTATTGATAAGTCATGAAGAAGCTGTATTTGAAGTTAGTCTAAAAAAATCCCAATTTTGATGGACAGCGTGAAAACTCTCCTTTAGTGATTTTCAGTTCTATGCCTGATGTTATGTCATTCTTTGAACAGGGTTCCAACCAACCATTTAAACTTTTGGCAAAGGGGAAACCTGGTATGGGGGTGGTGGTCGGGGGGGGGGGCAGGAAATACTCTCAGGAAAAATGTCTAAAATGTTGTAGAGGCTTAAAAAGGGATAAGTAGACAAAACAACACATCACTACTAGTGTAGTATGTGCAGTTACAGTCAAACCACTCAAAATTACAATGTCATTTGTCTTCTTTGTATCTCTTTTGTTTTTACAAGGCACATGGCAAAATCAACAAATACTATATCATCCCTCTGAGGATTCAGCTGGGGAAAAAGCATCGGTTAGCTCATCTCTAGAGGAGCTATTATTAGCTTGCTTCAGTTCTCTCATACGATACGCACCCATGCTTATTAAGCTGCTTGTTTGCTTCCTTTGTCATATTCTTCTACGATTAGGACTACAGCTATGCAGTGCACTCTAGCGCAGCCCAGAGGTACCCATTTCTACAGGTTTTTCCAAAACCGATGTAAGCTCCATACTTTTCAAAAGATTATTCGTTGGAAAAAACATGCAAAGTCATATTTGCACCTGATGTTGAACTTTCCTATACATAATATTAGGGACTTCCCTGGCAGTCCAGTGGGTAAGACTCCGTGCTTCCATTTCAGGGGGCGTGGGTTCGATCCCCGGTGGGGCAACTAAGATCCCACATGCTGCACAACATGGCCAAAAAATAAACAGATGAAAATAAATGTATAGAAAATATTACTGTCCCTGTACTGGATTGTATATTCAGTGTTACCCTTACCTCTCCCCAATCCATGATCACTCAGAACCTGTGAATATGACCTTGTTTGGAAATAAGAGTCTTTGTCAACGTAACCACATTAAGATGATGTCATACTGGATTAGTGTGGGCCCTAAACCCAGTGACTGGTATCCTTATAAGAAGGTCCTTCAGAGATATAGACATGCAGGAAGACCATCATGTGAAGACAGAGGCAGAGACTGAAGTGATGTAGCTGCAAGTCAAAGACTGCCAGTAACCCTCAGAAGCTAGGAGAGCAGCTCAGTACAGGTTCTAGTCTGAGTCTTTGGTGGAGGGATGTGGCCTTGGTGACACTGATTTTGGGCTCCTAGCCTCCAGAAACAGTGAGATATAAATTTCTATTGTTTATACCAGGGGTCCCCAACCTCCTGGATCTGAATGTCTGATGATCTGAGGTGGAGCTGACGCAATAATAATAGAAATAAAGTGCACAATAAATGCAATGTGCTTGAATCATCCCCAAACCATCTCCCCCGACCCCTGGTCCATTGAATCATCCCAAAACCATCTTCCCCCCACCCCTGATCCATAGAAAAACTGTCTTCCATGAAACCGGTTCCTGGTACCAAAAAGTTGGGGACTGCCCAACCTTTAAAACACCCAGTTTGTCATATTTTGTCATGGTAGCCCTAGGAATCTCCAGATTATGAAAGTGAATACTTCAAATTACATAAAGACTTGATATTAACTTTCCCTTAGATGATGAAACCAGGGGAAGAAAAGGCTACTTGTCATGGTGACAGGGCAAGTCTAAACCAAAGATGGGATTAGAAACTGGTCATTCTAGGATCACAAGGCAGGTAGAACTGTAGACTAATGAAAGTTTCAGCTAACGCACTATGACACTGATATCACATTTAAAAGTGAGGTATAAGACCTCCATGTGCAAAATTGCAAGGGAGGTTATCAAAATCTGATCACATGGCTTTCAACCCCTCACATAAATATAAAGTACATAAAAAGTGAAAACTAGAAATCAAAGATGAGAGTTGTTTTGTATAGAGTAGTCTGTGTGCTGGGTGTCCTCCCCCCACCAACTTCTCTAAATCTTCAGGGGCAAAGAAAATGTGAGTAGTTCCTCTGGATCAAATGTGGGTCACCCACAAGAGAATGCAAACATGGGGTTATCTTGCATCCTTTCTAAAAGGATCATTTGGATAAACAAAAAAGTTGGAGTTGATAACAGATTCCTGGGGCCCCAGGAAATCTGGGTAAGTGATCAGCCATATTAAGATGGATCCATCTGTTCGCAGGGAAATCTTGGTAAGAGAATCCTACCCTGGAGCATCTCCAAAAAATTCATACAAACCAACAGGAGAGGCAACTTTATATACCTGTGAAGATCAAAGAACTATAACACCAGATCTTCACGAGAGGACCAGACAAGTAAGAACTTTCCTGCCCCACCTTCTCCTCCTCCTCCCAGTATTCTAACTAGAGAAGAGCGTGCAGTCGCCTTCTACAGACTTCAAGGGGCAGGGATGTGGAAAAGAAAGGGAACACAGGTTTCTCTCCTAACCCAACTGCAGCTCTTTGTAGGAGGTTGAGCTGGGGATGGGAGAAACCTGTCGATGTTTTTTGTTTGTTTGTTTGTTTGTTTACTGTGACGTGAATCCAGACATGTTAGTTACTGACCAATGGATATATTACCTGGGAGTAACTGGAAGAATTAAAATGTGCTCTAAATTTCAAACCCAGGAGCTGAGAAAGTGCTAACTCTGAGGAATAAATTTGAAGTGTTGCTTTATGATTGATTACATCCTATGAGTCATGCTCGTTCAGTGTTAACAGTTACATAACCATTTCTAAATGCAATTGAATAGAGCAGTTCTTATAGAGCCTTCTACAGAGTCTTCCTCTATGAAGTCACCGTGTTTCTGTCTGAATGTGGAAAGTTATGTGTCAAATTGTCCTCATAGAGAATTTTGTCCTTTTATCAGCACTTGTCAATGCTCAGTCATGTCCAACTCTTTGCGACCCCGTGGACTGTAGCCCACCAGGCTCCTCTGTCCATGGGATTATTCTTGCAAGAATGCTGGAGTGGGTTGCCATTTTCTCCTCCAGGGAATCTTCCTGACCCAGGGATTGAACCCCCACCTCCTATGGCTCCTGCACTGGCAGGCAGATTCTTTATCACTGAGTCACGTGGGCATGAACTGTCTAAACTGAAAAGCATTATATGCTTGGTGCATATTAGATTCTCAACAAATGTTGCATTAATAAAGAAATGAATGGGCCATGAAGAGAAACTCTGCTTGCCTGGGTTCTTTATAAACCCAGGCTATCCCCAGATTTCTTTATGGTAGAGTAAGAAATATTTCAAGTTGATGATTTCTGAGAAACTCCAACCAGACACTTATGGTCTCATAGAGTATATGTTCTTCATTCACAGTGGGATTAAACTAGAAACTGATAATTGAGAAATAACAGAAAAGTCTCCCATCATTTGCAAACTAAATACCATGGTTCTAAATAATTCAAGGGCCAATGACAAAAATTTCAAGAGAAATCAATACATCAAACTGAATAAAAATTAAAATACAACATAGCAAAATTGTAGGACGCCATTAAAAGTAGTGCTGAGAGGGACATTTATAGCTCCAAAGGCCATTAGAAAAGGGACAACGTCCTAAATCAATAATTTAAGATCTTACCACAAGAATGTAGAAAAAGAGAAGCAAAATAAACCCAAAGCAAGCAAGAGAAAGGAAACAATGAGGTTAAGAGCAGAAATCAATGAAACTGAAAACAGGAAAAACAATAGAGAAAATCAATGATACAAACCTTGGTTCTTCAAAAAGATCAAAACTGACAAACTTCTATCAAGACAGACAAAGGAAAATGGAAAGAAGACACAAATGACTAATATCTGTAATGAATAAGATATCACTAAAGACATCAAAAAGAAAAGAGGATACTATAAAAAAAAAAGTAACATATAAATTTGACAACACAGATGAAATTAACCATTTGTTCAAAAACACAAGCCATAACAACTCCCCAAAAATGAAATAGAAAATTTCAATAATCCTAACATCATTAAGGAAATTGAATTTGCAATTTTAAAATATTCCCCCACAAAGGAGAAATTCTACCAAACATTTGAGGAAGACTTAATACCAATTCTACACAATCTCTTATAGAAAAAGAAAAAGAAAAATCACTTCCAGTTCATTTTAAATAGCTAATATTATCCTCACACACAGACAAAGATGGCACAAAATAAGAAAACTGCAGACCAATATTTCTTGTGAATAATGATGCAAAAAATTTTAACAACATATTAGCAAATAGAATTCAGCAACATTGCCAAAGAATTATACATCATAGCTAAGTAGGGTTTAGTCCAGGAATGAAAGTCTGGTTCAATATTTGGGAGTTAATCAACATAACCCACAACACTAGTAGGCCAGGATACCTGGATACATGCACACACTTACCTAATTGATATTTTACAATGGTACAAAAGTGATTCAATGGAGGAATGGTGAAGAAGGAGGAGGAGGAGGAATAAACGGAAGAAGAGAGGAGGAGGAGAAAGGAGAAGAGAAAACTGAGACTCCAGAGTTAACAAACTGGAATGTTGCTAAGTCCCAAGAGCAGAAGAGTTCACGGTTTCTGCAAGACTTTGGAAAGGACGATTAACCACTTGAAGAGATACTTTTCTCATTCCAGCAACTGGATTGGATTCACTGGTACTTTGGTGAAGCTGTCCTAAGAAGCCATTATCTTTTCCCTTTTTTCTTGCTGCTCCCACATCTAAAGAACACAATGTGGTCTCCTTGTTTTATGTACTTTTTTATTAATTTGTTTGCTTTCCCAATTGTTAAGTCAGCTGGGGAAGATCAGGGGTGGAAAGTCAATCTGGGCCATCCAAATGTGGAATGGATCCTGGGTCAGTAGCCACCATGGAGGCCGCCTCTTCTGTCATTTTCCTGCCCCTTGATAACGGGTCCTGGATTTCTCGGGGTAGCCTCACCTGCTGCCCCTGAGCCCTTTTATGAGGGGAGATGCATCCTGGGGAGTGGAGGATGTTACGAAGGCTGGGACCCCATCAGTTTGTGTAAACCTGAGTTCTGAACAAAAACATGATTCCCTTCTGTATCTTGGGTCCTGAGTATTAATGGTGGCATCACCCACCTAACCATCCTCAAATACAGAGAAGAACCACGTGCAGACATTATCAGGCCCAGGGCACGTCCAGATGTTCCATGCTTCTGGAGATCCTTAGATGTAATCATTTCACAAAGCACTATGCAGTTTAGATTTCAACTCTGCAGGAACCTCCAGGGCTTTTACAATAAATAGTGCTAGAACAGATGGACATTTATAGACAAAAATTGAACCTTGACCTTATACAAAGTTAATTCAAATGAAAGTACAATATAAACAAAATAAAACAGAAATCTATGTACTTTCAGGAAAGAAAAAAAAAAAAAACCTGGAGAATATCTTTGGAATCTAGGGCTAGACAAAAAAGTCTTAGACTTCATGCCAAAGTATGATTCATAAAAGGAAAAACTGATAAATTAGACTCCACCAAAATTTAAAAATCTGCCTTTTAAAATTTATTTTAATTGGAGGATAATTGCTTTTCAATGTTGTGTTGATTTCTACTGTACAGTGAATCATCCGTAAGTATACATATATCCCCTCCCTCTTAAACTTGCCTCCCACCCCCCATCCCCCATCCCTCTATGTTGTCACAGAGCACTGGGTTTAGCTCCCTGTGTTATATAGCAACTTCCCACTAGCTATCCATTTTACATATGGTCATGTATATGTTTCAGTGCTACTCTGTGAAAGACCCTGTTAGGAGGATGAAAAGATAGGATATAGACTGTGAGAAAATATTTGCAAACCACATATCCAGTAAAGGACTAGTATCTAGAATATATAAAGAACTTGGAAAACTCAACAGTAAAAATACCAAAGAATCCAATGAGAAAATGAACAAAAGACACATTTCACCAAAGAGGTCAGACAGATGACAAATAAGCACATGAAAAATATGTTCAACATCATTGCGTACATGCTCAGTAGCTAAGTCGTGTCTAACTCTTTGTGACCCCATGGACTGTAGCCTGCCAGGATCCTCTGTCCATGGGATTTTTCAAGCAAGAATAGCAGTGTGGGTTGCCATTTCCTTGAGGGGTCTTCCTGACCCAGGGATGGAACCTGCGTCTCCTGCATTGGCAGGTGGGTTCTTTGCCACTGAGCCACCAGCAAAGCCCTCAACATCATTACTCACGAGGGAAATGCAAATTCAAACCATGAGATATCACGACGTATCTATGAGAATGACTAAAATAAAAAATAGTGACACCACCAAATGTTGGTAAAGATGCAGGGAAATTGGATCATTCCTATATTTGGTAACCCCAAATAGAACAGACACTCTGGAAGAGTTTACAGTTGCTTTTAAAAAAAAAATGTGCTGGGGATTTTCCTGGCGGTCCAGTGGTTAAAACTCCATGCTACTTGTTTGATCCTTGGTCAAGGAACTTAAATTCCCACATGCTTTGGGGTGTAGACACACACAAAAAAACAACCCAGCAATTATCATGCAACCCACATATTGTACACTACAGTATTCATCCCAGAGAAATGAAAACTTAAGTTCACCCAAAAACCTGTCCATGAATGGTTATAACAACTTTATTTGAAATAGCCAGAAACTGGAAACAACTTGACTGTCCTTGAATGGGTGAATGGTTAAACAAACCACAGTATATCCATACCATGGAATACTACTCAGTGATAATCGGAACAAACTATTGATGCAAGCAATGAGCTGGATAATGTCAGTATCTTTTATTTAACTCCTGAGAAGTATGTTGAAATGTCCTTCTATTTAGAGGTCATGCTTTTACTCTTGACATTTGAATGCACTATTTTAATATATTCATTTATAATAATTATAGTGTGCTCTTCACATAAGAAAAATACTAAAAAGAAAAATTGAAATAATAAGTAGATTATATTTATATAGCATGAATTATGCCCAAAGCACTATTCTAAGCACTTTCTGGGCTTCCCAGGGAGCTCAGCGGTAAAGAACCCCTCTGCCAATGTAGGAGACACGAGTTCAATTCCTGGGTTGGGAAGATTCCCTGGAGAAGGAAATGGCAACCCACTCCAGTATTCTTGCCTGGGAAATGTCATGGACAGAGGAGCCTGGTGGGCAGACTACAGTGCATACAGTAGCAAAGAGAGTTGGACATAACTTAGTGACTAAACCACCACCAAGCACTTTTTAGGTATTGGCCTCTCCATAACCATAGGAAGCAGCTCCATTATTACCCCCCATTTCACAGATACCATAACTGAGGCATAAATAAACTTGCCAAGGTTACCTAGAAACTATATGCCAGAGGTGAAATTTC